TACTGTCAGTCCATAGAAAACTGTTAAGTCATTCACAACTGACTCAAACATGATGTGAGTTCTAATCTCTCAGCACTGACTATCCATGGGCCTTTGTTTTTTACTTGATTTTGAAGACCAGGAAACGGAGAGCTTAAGCAGCTTGCTGTTGGAAGCACAACTGAGTTTTAAAACTTTTCTCCTGGAATTGTGGCCCACACCCTCTAGGAGGCAGTGTCAACCTCCTGGTGATTCACATCTGACTTGCTCCCGGTTATCCAGCTCCAATCACTCATGTGGCAAGTGCTTATTGAGTGCCTGTGACGAGCTAAGCTAGGTGAAATGCGGTAGGGGTGGTAGTATTTTAAGGTCCCGCCTTTGATCTTAAGGACATCCCTTTTTAGTAGGAGAAGAAAGGAATCCCCAGTGGTGGAAATAAGAACAAAGTAGCTGCCAGCTCTGAGATGTCATGTTTGAAACTGCACAGGGTCTCCCCAGGGTCACCACATAGCAGGGAGACCAGGCTGGGCCCCTCCACGCCACACATGCTCTGGTGCCTGTCACCTTTCTCAATAGCCACACTGCCTCCAAGCTCCTGTTGCACATCTCACTCATGAAAATTACTGGCAAATTTTCCTCCGAACTTGCAACATTTACTTCTTTGTTAACCCAAGCACAGGACTTTACATTTATCCCCATTAAATCTCATCTTGTTAGTTTTGGCCCATTGATCCAAACTGTTGAAATCTTCATAATCCAGACTGCCTTGCCGGGCACAGTTATCCCCCAGCTTTGTGTTGCCAGAAAATGTGATCAGGGCACCTTTTTATGTCTTCATAGAGATGGCTGATAAAAGCGCAGGCCAGGACGAGGCCATGCACACAGTCCCAAGGTCACTAGGAACAGCCGCAGTCCAGGTACACAGCACAATCTGGGTCAATGTAAACAATGGGTTAGTATGCCGTGGACAGGCATTTAACCACCTTCCAATTTATCTAATGCCATCTCCCCCCTGGCCACACTGCTCTATTCTGTATATAACAGCCTGAGAGGTTACCTAAACTAAATGCCTTCCCAATATGTACGCGTAGTGTTTGACAATTTTTAAGTGGCCCTTCTGTTATTGTTCTAGAATACGTGAATATGAATTAAATTTGCCACTTAAAAGATGTCTGGAATTGTTCCAGACAGAATAAAAATCAACATCAAAGTTTTTCTAATCCAGACACACCCCAAATATAAATTCAGTGGACTGTAGACTTCCCATGGCAACGGCCTTCAATCAGAGGCAGGAACGGAACTTGCAAACAGAATGCTCACTGGGATTGAGAGATGCAGGGAGTGTGATCTACTGCCCTCACTTTTAATTATCCTAAACTGGAAAAACGGATGTCTAAGCTGGCCAGCCTGTCCCATAAAGCATTTTGATCAAAGATGTAGTTTCACACACACCTGTCTGAGGAATGGCTGGAGAGTCCACGGGGATCCCGCAGAGTTACGGAAGTTATAAACCTGGTCCCTGCAGTCCCATAGGCAGACAGCTATGCTGTGAAAAATACTGCTCAGGGGAAGCTTTGCGTTTCTTTAAACATTCAATTATAGCTATACAAACACAGATTTTAAGTGAACAGCATATCTTTGCACAAATTAGGGATGCTAGAAGGCAAATAAAATAGATTCTCTCAAACAACTATTTAATAAAAATGCAGCCCTGCTCCATGAAGAATTGGATTGCCATGGAAGAGTTTCTGAGTAGGGATAATGAGGTGAGTCTCTTTCAGCATTAGCTTCAGATTATAGCTCTTATGATTTAAGAGTCTGGGACCACTTTTATTTAGATTTTAATTTTAAGCAAGTTTTCACTTAGAACAGATTTCTGAAAATTCAAAGACTCAATATTCAGTAGGTAGACTGCCCTTGTTCTTTGAAAGTTGCTGGAGGTTTTCAAAGGCCTGTTTTTCTTTTATGAATTGTAAATAGTTCTACTTTTCTCTTTTCAACCATTTTCAAGTTTTTACAACATTTTTTTTTCAAAATAAATTTTTTCCTAATTTAAAAGTCATATTTTCTTCTTGTAAAACATTAAGAAAATTAAAAAGTTTTCCACAAGCTTACTATTCAGCTATGTGTCATGCTTATGATTTTAAAATAAAAACTGGGCAATATGGGAAATATTTTGTAATATTCTGTTTACATTGATTATACCATAGATCTTCATAATTTTTAATTACTGCATAGTATTGTTTCATAGCCAAGCCATAATTTATTGAGTATATCTCTTATCAGTGTAATTAAGATCTTTGAACACTGACTTCCGGTCTATAGGCACTGAAGCAGGTACCAACCAGCCCACGTTCTCATCTGTCAGTTCTTCATTCTGATTAAATTGCTTCATTACTGTACTGCTTGTTAAATATTTAAATGACTTTCTGTTATATTTTTTTATCTGTGGGTAATCTATAAACTTCATTTGAATAAACTTTCTGAATTGGGACTATTGGGCCACAGGTTATGTAAATTTAAAAAAATTATAAACTAGATGATTTATTGCCTTTTGTGTCTGACAGCATTAAAAGCTAGAAGCATAAAAACATTTCACTCCACTTATAAAATTGCAGATTGTTTTTAGTATTCTTTGCCTCAATTGTATAGTCCATTTATAATAGACTCATAATTTAGGGAAGAAATGTTCAATACTGAAGTATTTTGGGAAATACATTATTAAAATTATAATTCTGGTTTATTCTAACTATGAAAATGTTACTGTTAACACAGTAGAAACTTTAAATTTGGGATAAGTAATGTAAATAAAATAAAGCTATAGAATATCACATGAACACATTTAAATTCTCTTCTTATATTTTTGAAATGCAGGCTAAAAGGGAAGTTGGGAAGAGAGAAATAAATTCAGAAGAGAGTTTTATGTGGTCACCTTTTCTAATTTTGAGATTATCCTTATAAAAAGAAGAGAATAAAGATGACTTTTTAAAAGATATTTCATACAAATTAGCCATTGTCTAGTTGTCAGCATGTATTATACTATCTGCAGCAATGTAAGGTAAACCATTTTCAGAGGGAATTATGAACAAAGCCATTAAGCCACTTTACAAACTCAGAGAACCAGATGGGCTGTAAGAAATCACTTCTAAATGGAAAAGCATGTTCATTATAAAACTAAATGAAGAAGTATGTAAGGATATATAAAGAAAGATATATACCTCACAAAGACTATAATATTGGCTATAAAGACAGAAAAGCAAGGCTCTTACTAGCAAGAAAATACTAACATTCACCATAATATTAAGCAGGGTTACGTTTAGTAGTAGGGATACACATTTTTTGTTGTTCCTCTTGGCACTCCCCATGTTCAATTGTCTATAGGGCACATATTCTTTTTATAGTAAAAACAAATAATTTAAGCATCTTATCAAGTCTTTTTCTGCTCCTCTACCTGTAGTCATTAACACAATCCATGAAGTTTGGGATCAGCCCTCCCTCTGTAGTAGGCACTGTGTCCTGCCGACAGCCCAATAATAGGAACAACTGTGGCACAGAGACTTCTAGAACCAGCTGCCAATTATAACACACCGCCTAGGATGTGTGTCACCACCGGAAGTCTTTCTTTGGCTCTTTCAGAGAATACCTAGTCTCCTCCAGGGAAATATTTTCAAAACCATACAGCCAGAATGGGAAGACCTTCAATGTCCCACAATATTCTTATATGGAAAAAAAAAAGAAAAAGACTATAAAAATATTGGCTTTTCTAAGAAGACACATCAAAAGCAATATACAGTTTTCTGTTTAAGATCCTTGATTATTCAATACAGTACATAGGCCTAAAGCTCTACTTTAAGGCCATCAGGTCATAAGAAAAACTAAGACACGTTACTTCTTTACTGTGTACAAAGCATCTGACCCATTTAGTGGTGAGAGATATATACATAAGAGGAAATACAAAGAGGCAGGCTGCAAATCCAAAGGAGTAACTTGCTTGATTTTATATATATTGATTTTAAAGACATTGTGGCATTAGATACCAAATGTTAGGATGGGCCACCCACGGCCTCTTTTGTCTGCCTTGCTTAGCGCCCTCAAACCAAAGCACTGATATCAGTAAATGATCTGACTTGTTCATATGGAGACCCTGATTCCGGTTTGTGTAATTCCGTATCTCTGGCAAGATTCTTCCTGGGGAAGCTTTTCTATTCACACTGCTAACTTCAGCACAGACCAGTGCTTGACTGAGGAGTGAGTGAGAGACAGGAACCAGTACTTCTGCAAGAAACTGCTATTTTTAATCAAGCAAGTCTTAGGGAATTGATTTATTACTTTAAATACAGATTGTTTATTAGAAGACCTTATTCAAGCAAAATAAGCTAAGAAATTTAAGGTGAAAGCCGGAGGGTAAGGAATGGCATGAACAGGATGGTTTCCACTTGTGACTCAAGACAGACACAGGTTCTATCAGGAAGTCATACAAAATACATAATAATAACCAAGTGGCCCAGAAAAATATATAGTATCATTTCCTGGAAATTAATATTATTTACAGAAAAGGGCCAAATATTAAACAGAGAGATAAAAATAAAGCTTTTCTGCTACACCCTGGCTTTGAAAGATTAAAACCAACTCTTCAAATTTCCCAGGGAGAAAAGAGTTTATACCTATTTGAAACTTCACTTACATAATTTGGGAGTCATTAAGTGTCAATTAATTATGGAACAGTTATTCGAATGGACAGGGATGCTTAAATTCTATCCTTGCAAAATCAAGCTGTGCAAAGGAAAGAAATGGAACTATGAAAAGCCCTGCAGAGTTATCAAGTTTGCTCTTAGAGTGATAAAATGCTTTATTTTTCCATTGGATAATATTTGGAAGTTAATTCCAGCCTCAAATCTGAATATGGATTACAAATCCATGTACTTCTGTTCCTCTAACTGCCAACTTGCCTTACATAGCACTTTTCCATCCACATTGTCTTAACTTTATCCTAATGTGCCCAAACCAAGAACTTGACTTACTCATTTCTTTCCAGATTTATAATCAGTTCTCTGCTTTCCAGTTGTATTCGAACATTCAATACTTCTGGATGATCCTGAAAGATAAACAAGGAGATGTAGTTGAAAACATTCGACTTTGGCTTGCCAGTATCTGGATATGCTCCATAAGGATAATCGACAGAGTGAGAGAAAAACATATTTTTTCCTTGGGAACATCCTGACATCGCAAATACAGAAGACCAGGGCAAAAGCTGGGAAATGTGATATTGGTACTGACAGGGCCTTTATGTTTTCCTTCGACCATGAACTGCACCTTTGGGACCAGCCCCACTTCAACACCCCTCCCCCATCCTTTAACCATCAGGTCTTTTCTTTGTCTCCTTTGTCTCTGTCAAAGTCACCTTCATTTCCCTGGTGGGTCATGCCAGGCATCTGAAATCTTCCTTGGAGTCTTCCTCTCCTTTTGCCAACTCTGTCTAATCCATGAAACAGTCCTGATCAGTCACCCTCTGAGATCCGAGGACCACAGTCGAGGCCTCACATCCCTCCACCCTTCTGCAGCTCAAAGCACAGTCTCTCACCAGGGTTACTGCACAACCCTTCTTATCCAGGTTCCCATCTACCTGTGCTTTCTCCTCATTCATTCTCCAATGACAGTACAAGGCTACCTTTAAAAACACTTGATCGATCCACCCTTGCTAAAAATCAGCACACACTGGCTCCCAATGCAGTGATCAGATGCCAGCTCTCTAATGTGGCCCACAGCACCCCATGCCTATGGCCTGACCCTCATCAGCCTCCACACCCACCTACATGGCTGCCCCCGCCCACTCTCCTGGTGCTGGTCAAACCTGGCCTTGCTAGCTCTTCAGACACACTGAACTGTCGTGTATCTCTGGTCTCTACATTTGCTGGGATCAGCTTGAAAGCCACCTACTAAAAGCAGCCTCATCTTACCCCCCTAACCTAATCTTGCACTCTGCCCTCATTATTCTTTATTTAGCCTGCTGGCCTTTCCTTCCAAGAAAGCACATCTGTCCTACTTGTAATAATATAGTATATGGATTTGTGATTGTTTATTATATCCATGAAGGTGCCCAACAAACAACAGAAATTCAATTAATATTGGGTGAGTGAAGGAATCAATCAGTGAATAGGGCAAACAGGTCGACCAGCCTCTTCCCTCTTGGTTGTCAGATGCCCTCCTCTCCTCTCTTTTCCTCTGGATCCCAAGAAAACTAATCTATGTGTGTCCATTTTTGAGTGGGAAAAGGCACCTGTTTTTGTTTTGCCCCAGATACCCTGAGTTTCAGGACCTTCCTTAAGAATGTCCCCAAGCCACAGGCTATCTGTCACCTAAGCTAGGGTAGTGGGATCTCCTTACTTCCCATAGAACTTAAGTCATTGACTTGGAGTCCTCAGCAAGGACGAAATGGATTTGCCATTCCAAATTTACTCTCCACAGGCCCTCCCTTGCTGCTCCTCTTTCTGGACGTCCTCAGTGATTCTGGGGACTCAGGATCAACTCTTCTCACTTGTCCTTCTCTTTAGTGGGGCTTTCCCACATCCAATAGGGCATTTCCCATAAATAGAATTTAGAACCTTAAAGTAAATTTCAAATAATTAATGCTGTTTTTCACGCTGTGATGCTTGCAGACTGTGAGCCCAGCACATCTGGGCATGGAGCCATTGCTTCTCAGTTCAGGGGCACTGCCCAGGCTGGTGTGGAAAGAACAGGAATGGTTCAATCATAAATGACTCAGCCAGTCTGAGAAAGGGCCAGACGCCATCGCAGCCCTGTGTACAAATGAAGGTTTCTTAGCAGTTCAAGAAAAATGGAGAGGAAGGTGGGTCATCTCACAGCACAGGCAGACAAAACCAATACAAACAAAGTTAACTCTAATTTAACAGTTCTGTGCTTATAGATAAGAGCTAGAAGACTAAGAAGTTTCTGCATAGTTTTCTAATATTCTATATTTGAAGGTACAGTTCATGATGTTTTTAAAATATACTATTTCAGCTATATCACAAATTAACCATGTGCTGCCACATTTTTAGAGAAAATGAATTATAGATTCCAAATACCCAACATGAAAATAATTAGTTAAAATAAAACAAAAAAAAATTTTAAAAAGGCAGGTTTTTTTTAACAACTGAAAGGTCACAAGAGTTCTGGGAAAATAAGAAAATATACATTAGTTGATTAATATTACTAGGGTAGAATCACAAAGGCTCAAAAACGATTTGCTTTATTTATAAGGTAATGCTTTGCTATCATTTTGTAGACTTTCTGCAACTAATCTGGTAGCCATTAGCCACCTGTGGCTAATTAAATTTAGGTTGATTAAAATAACATTAAAAAATCAGTTGCACCAGACTTATTTCAAGGCTCAACAGCTACCTGCGGCTGGTGGGCAGCACGGATATGGGACATGTAGGCAAGTTCTGCTGCTCAGCTCTGCATAAGCAATAATGACTTAAACTGGCACCATCCAATTATTCCTGAGTAATAGGTATCTTTAAAATGGGAGCCTCCAGGGGATAATAGCTGATGTGTACCTAAGGGTTTTGGAAATGTGTCTTGAGGAGGGTCTTCTATATCACTATTATCATCTCTACATCTATTATCTTCTATATAACCCTTCTCTATGTTATAACTACTTAAAATAATATCCTCTTAATTGGCAAGTTATATTATTTTAGAAAGTTACTTAAGATTAAGAGTCAAACTGGTGAATTTCTAAACATAGGAAATGCTTGCACATTTTCTGGGTTTAAACAGGTTTTGCTTTTTATGGATTCATAGTAGCAAAATACTACACAAACACACTTCTTAATTTATATATTTTGACACCAGTGTTTATGGCTGATTGGGTTTCTGAGTGTTTTCTGAACTTTAAGAATTAGTATTTCTATTTAATCCTATATAACACTAAACTTAAACCACTTTTCATTTTTTTGCATTGAATCCAGGGCCTCTACGTTGAGCTATGTTTCCACTCCTCTTCTCATTTTTTATTTTTGAAATAAGGTCTCACTAAGTTACCCAGGCTGGGCTCAAACTTGCAATTCTTCTACCTCAGCCTCCTGGAGTGTTGGGATTACAGGTTCATACCACTTCTTCCATATCTCAGTGTGGAAAAGTGTTTTGTTTCTCTGTCTTTCACAGGGACTTTCACTTATATTTGCTTATACTTTCTAACACTTGGATTCAATTAAAAATACTTAGACAATATTTTCTCCAGGGTTTATATTATGCACTCATTAATTATATCTTAGAAGAACAAGATTATTAATTATGTTTACAATAAAATAATAAAAGCTTCAATATTCTGTCAAGATGTGTCCAAATACATGTGTATATCTTTGTGTGTGTATATTTAGTTGTTTTAATAATGTATACATATAAATTTACTTAGTTACCTTAATTACAAATTATGTTTGCCTAAGATATTGATATACACATCACCTTCTTAAAGAGAAATCCTTTGGTTTTTTTTTTGGTACCAGGTATCAAACTCAAGACCTTGTGCTTGCCAGGCAGGCACTGCACCACTGAGCTATACACCCGGTCCTTAGAGAGCAATCCTGACAACTGTATTTATAAATAAAATTAAAATGCCGGGGATATAGCTCAGTGGTAGAGCATATGCTTAGCGAGCATGAGCAAGACTCGGGATTTGATTCTCAGTTAACTAAATAAATAATAGCTAGCTAGCAGTACCACTTTCCACCAAGACTTTAAGCTAGTTTAAATAGCAACGTTTGTACTAATTCTACATAAAATGTCTACAAGTGCTGTTATAACATTGCAGTGCCAACATTTTCCAAAAGAATATATTTCCTCCAGAGAGATGAAAAAATCCTTATGTGTGATATGGATGGTACAGGAGAAATCCAACAGGGAAATAGAGTAGAGAGTTATTTTAACTCAACACAACTAATTGCATTAGACTTTGTAGCTTAAATGCATGTATTCACTCCATTTCCTTTTGATTGTTATCCATTGGAGATAATGACATAGCATTGGTGAAAGTGTTCCTTGCTTTAAAAATAAAGTATTGATTACATTAATGGAACAATGACTTTGATGAATATTCAGAGAACTGTATTTGCTGAATAAATCAATTAAATGCTAATCAATGGGCCAGAAGTGTTTGGAGAGTAATTATAATGCTATGTTTCAAGTTGAGGAAAGTACATCCAAACAAGTATATAAAATGTTTCAGTGTAATTTAAAACAAACCAATAAAATAATTACAACTACCCTTCTGAAAATGTATGCTGTTACCAGACTCTTAGAAGATCCCTGTATTAGTTTTCTAGGATAGTCATAACAAATGCAACCGATTGGGTTGCCCAAATAACAGAGATTTATTTTCTCAGTGTGCTGGAAGCTGAAGTCCAAGTTCAACTTTGGTTTCTTCTGAGGCCTCTCTTTGGCTCTCAGATGGCTGATACGGTTTTTTGAATGTCTTCGTCCTAAACTTTTCTTATAAGGACACCAGCCATACTGGATTAGTCCCTACCCACATGACTTCATTTTACCTTAGTTACCTCTCTAAAGCCCCTCTCTCCAACACAACCACATTCTAAGGTATTGGAGGTTAGGACTCCAATGCACAGATTTGCATCTGAGGGATGCAAGTTAGACCAGAACACACCTCGCACTGAATTCCTCTTAGTCCCACCAGAGGTAATCACTGTCCTGATGTTTCCACTGATCCTTATCTTGATTTCATTTGTAGTTTTATTCCCAGTTTATATATTCCTAAGCAACAGTTTAATTTGACCCAACTTTGAACATCATACTTTTTCTGTCCTCCTATGACTGATTTCTTTTACTTGATCTTTTCCTATTTGTAGAATCATCCATGTAGTTGTGGGTAGCCAAGGTCCACTTACTTTCATAGTTTTTCAGTATTCTATTGTATGAACAATTTATGTATCCATTCTGCTACATATGGATCTCGGGGATATTTTTCTGATCACCATCCTTACACAGCAGCATGTATACTGGACAGAAGTGATATTCTTCAGCATGGAGTCTCTCTGCATGCTGGGGTCTGCACATGTTTGCCTTTACTGGGGAGCT